AATGCTTAAAAATGACTCAATAAAATAAAGCACATTTAAAAGGAATAATAAAGAATATATCAAAATATAAAAATTAAATTGGCAATATGATAATAAGTATGCCTCTCTGTGTGCCTCCTGTGGGGTTTTCTGAATGGTGTAAATTTGAAATAGTGACAAGCATGAACAATTCTATAAGATATCGAGACCAATATCCTATTTCTCACAGTGACAAAGTCACGGGTACTGCTGACAGTGCTCTGGTTTGTTGGCAACATACATAGTTGAATAGAATGCTAATTTTTGCTCAAAGATGAGTGAAAAATAAAAATGCGCTTTTTTCAATTTATGAGTTCATGGAACTTTGCTATGGACCAGTGTATTCCCCAAAATGTAAATGTTGAGGCACAACCCCGAATGTGACAGTACTTGGATATAATAGGTAATTAGGGTTAAATTAGGTCATACATGTGGGGTTCTAATCAGATAAACAGAAGAAGAGGGAGCTGCCTCCCATCCTCCACATACAGGCATACCAGGAAAAGGTCATGGGAGGATACACTGAGAAGGTGGCCATCTGTGAGCCAGGGAAACAGTCCTCATCAGAAATGGGAACAGCCAGAAACTAGCTCTGGTACTTCCCAGCCTTCCAAACTGCGAGAAAGTAACTTCTGCTTTTTAAGACACTCAGTCTGTGGTATTTTGTTTCATCAGCAAAGCATCATAATACAGGAATGAAGGCTAAGACAAGACCCACGCCCAGTAGCCCTCTTTGCTCCTAGACCAATAACCAGGCTGAAGTCCCAGCAGGCCCCTCATGGTGAGGAACAAAGTGTAATCCAAGGAGGGGCTAAGCTCCAAAATAACTACTTTAGTTTTCTAATGCATAAAGACAGAAATCCAGGGGACAAGTGTGAGAATGAATAGTGGGGGAAGGGTAATAAAGGAAGGAACACAGAACTGGGTCACGCTGAATTTGTTGATTAGGATCACTCAGCAGAGGTTCTGCATTGAATGTTGTAGCTCAGGGAGGTAGAAAGGGCTCTACTTCTTTGGTTTGTCATCTGAAACATGCACCAGAAAGTGGCCCACAGTGAGCAAACGGGCAATGCCAGACCTGCTTTGGTGGAATGTATCAGATGGAATTCACAGGCAGAGCAATATTCCAATGTTAGGGTGGATCTGTCATTTAAGACCTACTCATTCACACTAGAAGAGCCCAGAAGGCACATTAATATTCTCACGAACATGAGAAATTATTTATGAGGGAGCCCAAGTGTAGAGAGCCAGAGTAGCCCACCCCCTCTCAGTGAATCAGCAGCAAGGCTACTGTGAATTTTGGGTGAACTCCAACAGAAGCAAAACCATAACAGGGGAATGTACATGTCTCTGAGAAGAGCAGTTGAACCTAGAGATAGATAACCAACTTTCATTGACCTTGCTGCAAGATAGTTGTTAGTTAAGGTCTGTTAACTGAAGTATGAGAATTATAACCACAGGCTGTTGTGGGTAACTGCACCCTCCCTCTGCTATGTGCTTTGTGAACATATAAAATAAAGTACTTTGAGACAGGACAGGGCCGGAGAAACCAATATTTTCACTTTCCTGGACTGCCTGGCCCCGCTTTTCTATGTTCGTCTTTGCGTTTTTCTTCATCCCCCACCATTCCCTCTTAGGTCTTTGAACTCTTGTGTAGCGCAGCACATGCCAGACTGGAGTATTCAGTAGAGTAACATGCTGTACAGTTTGTAACCTAGGAGCAATACGCTATACAATATAGCCTAGGTGTGTACCAGGTTCTACTATCTAGGTCTATGTAAGTCCACTCTACAATGCTTGTATGACAATAGAATCACCTAACACATTTCTCAAAGTGTATCCCCGTCATTAAGTAATGCATGACTGTAAAAAAAACTGGGGGGGAAGAAAATAAAGAACAACATAAGCAAGTTTCTAAAAAAAAAAAGACAAACAGGTAAATACCAGACAAAGAGCTAAAGAAATAGAAAGCTGTTACTTCTAAAGAGTGAAAACCTGGGAGGAGAATTGGTGGCATAGTAGATTGTGGTTTTTCTCACAAAAATTTTAAATTTAAATATGCGCCACGCACTGTGGCTCAAGCCTGTAATCCCAGCACTTTGGGAGGCCGAGGCGGGTGGATCACGAGGTCAAGAGATGGAGACCATCCTGGTGAACATGGTGAAACCCTGTCTCTACTAAAAATACAAAAAATTAGCTGGGCATGGTGGCATGTGCCTATAATCCCAGCTACTCAGGAGGCTGAGGCGGGAAAACTGCCTGAACCCGGGAGGCAGAGGTTGCAGTGAGCCGAGATCACGCCACTGCACTCCAGCCTGGGTAACGAGCGAAACTCCGCCTCAAAAAAAAAAAAAAATTAAATATGCATAAGTAATTAAAAGAACCTATCAGCCGGGCATGGTGGCTCACGTCTGTAATCCCAACACTTTGGGAGGCTGAGGTGGTTGGAACACCTGAGGTCAGGAGTTCCAGACTAGCCTGGTCAACGTGGCAAAACCCCAGCTCTACTAAAAAAATTACAAAAATTCCCAGCACTTTGGGAGGCTGAGGTGGGTGGATCACGAGGTCAAGAGATAAGACCATCCTGGTCAACATGGTGAAACCCCGTCTCTACTAAAAATACAAAAAATTAGCTGGGCACGGTAGCGCGTGCCTGTAATCCCAGCTACTCAGGAAGCTGAGGCAGGAGAATTGCCTGAACCCAGGAGGCGGAGGTTGCGGTGAGCCAAGATTGCGCCATTGCACTCCAGCCTGGGTAACAAGAGCAAAACTCTGTCTCAAATAAAAAAAAAAAAAAAGAAAATTACAAAAATTAGCCAGGTGTGTGGTACACACCTATAATCCCAGCTACTTGGGAGGCTAAGGCAGGAGAATCAGTTGAACCTGGGAAGCAGAGGTTGCAGTCAGCCAAGATTGCGCCACTGCACTCCAGCCTGAGCAATGGAGTAAGACTCTGTCTCAAAAAAGAACCTATCTGTAAAATGTAATACAGCAACTGATTAGAAAAGTTATGATTATAGAAAGCGATGCAGAAAACATATTCGATGTAATACTCTGATTTAAGAAACTATCAAAAATTTTCCCTTAGTATACTAAGAAAAACAAAAGAGTATCTGTAATTCAATATACGTTATCTCTTAAAAAGCACCCAGTACAGGAAAAGAAGACCATCATCACCCCTCCTATTCCACAATGAACGGAAAGTAGCCTAGCCAGTGCATTAAGACAAGGAACAAGAATAAAAAGATGCATCTCACAATAGAAATAAAACCTCTCTGGTACCCAGATATAAATCTATTAAAAGATATGCAATGTCAATTTCCCATCAGTGATGTGCACTATAGTTATACAGGACATTACCATTGGGGGAACGTAGATAAAGGCCATGAGGAATCTCACTGAATTACTTCTTACAGCTGTATGTCAATCTATAAATATTTCCAAATAAAAAGTAAAAACAAAAAGGTAACTCTTTATGACAACTTTATGGTAGAAAATAAAAGACCCAAGTATACAAGCAATATATACCATGTAAACAGGTACTGAGATTAAGCATCAGCAAGATACCAAGCCTACTAAATTAATCCATAAATTCAACACACTTCTAATAAAAAATCCAAACACAGTTTTTTGGTCAAATATGATCACCTAAATCTAAACCCACAGCAAAGTGGGTCAAGAACGGCCTAGACAATTTTGAAGAACATAGAAGTAGAAAGACACTCTAATCAATGTTTATTATAAAGCTGTGATATTAATATGAATGAGTGTCTGGTATATGGAGATACAAATATATCCCAAGAATAAAAATAAAAGCAAGAAACAGATCCTTTAGAAGGGAATTTGGCATACCAAAGAAGGGAGATTTCCAAGCAGTAGGTAAACACTGGATTATTCAACTAATAATGCTGGGACAACTGACCATCATACAGAAAACAATCAAATTAGACCTTTAGGGTAGGAAAGCAGTCCCTAAGACCTCAACAGACCAAACTAAAGGAGATTGTTAAGTTTGATTTCAGAATACGTAAAACTTTTATAAGACTACAGAGATCTACAGCAGTGAAGAATAAAAGCTCCTCTTAGATAAGATCAGAATTATATACTCAGGAAAATATCCTGCATCACATTTTAAAATAAAAAAACAAGATTTTCATGGTGACAGACGTATATGGCAAAATTATAAACATAAGCAAAGGAAAGACAATCACCAACTTCAAGACAGTAGTCATGTGTATGAGAAGCAAGAGTAAGTGATGGATGAGAAGGTATTCCTTAAGATGTATTTGTAACATTGTATCTATCTGTAAAAATAAATTTGAAGTAAAGATAGCAAAATGTTAATGCCTATTAATTCTGGGTGGTGGGTATATAGGTGTCTAATATCAACTTTCTGTATTCTTAAAATATTTCTTAATTAATGAAAATATATACAATACAGCAAAGATAGCCAAGAGTACAAAAAGTAAATAGATGAGACAATGGAAGCAAGGAGGGAAAAGGTGTGAGTGGAAGCTCCAAAGTTTACACCACATGGGTCAACAGGTATTGTTTATAGTTGATGAATCAGAAAACAGGAGTTAAGCATACTACAGTATCTAGAATTATGAAGGCAACCTGCAACAGATTTAAAATCAGAAAACCACCAGGTGAGTAAAAAGGAATCTGTTGCTTTTCAAGTGTTTGACCATTTGAAATATTAAGACATGCACATTAGTTTGAAAATATATATTTATATTTTTATATATTTTATATATATTTTTTTAAAAAAGGGCAAACATTAATGTTTAAATTGGAGACTTAAAAAAATTCCTATATAATTCCTAGAATAAATTTAAAATCAGGAGCTAAAGCTGTTACTCCTGGAAATTTCTAAATGTTTTGTTTCAGCTAAAAAAGGAACACTATATACAAAGCACTATATACAGTAGGTTACTACCAGAAACCAAATATAAGTACTTCCAGTAGCAAAATCAATTTACCCTGAAACGATGTTGTAGTTGAGGGGCAGGATGGTCTTTTGGGACAGGAGGAACAAAAGGTTCTGGTTGTCACTCTTCAATCAGTTCTTCCTTTTCCGACAGGAGAAAAAGAGTTAAAATATAGCACAGGGGTAGTCACTTTACATCAACTTCAGCAATACCAAAATTGTCTGTTGTAATGGAAAAGTCACAGTGAATACACTGCTAGAAGAACCATGTCTAGTTGTGGCTAGAATAAAAACAGAATCACTTGTGAGTTTGGGGCACTTACCACCCTCACCTCTTTTCTTATCACTCGCTAGAGGCTCTTTTCAATGTAGTTTTGTGGATGACTTGACAATTTATGAAAATTTTACTTCTATGCTTAGGATTCTTTTTCCTTTACTATACACAACACATCCAAATTCGATCTGAGGTAGGTGTGAGTAGGATTCTTTTCTACTCTGACTCTCCTTTAAGAAGACCACTGGGGAAACCTTCTCTCAAACTTCCGAGAATAGTTGTGCTATTCTGCAGCAACTCACACAACCCTCACATGAACATTCAAACTCCAGTAGTTGCTCATGCTTCCCTCTACCCATCTATTGGCAAGACTGTTTAGTCCTACCAAAGTATCCAAGACCATAATATGCTCTTCATTTGGGTACTGACTTTATTTCTAGATTTCCTCATATTTTGCCTACCCTGATTATTTCACTCCCTTTGATTTCCTTACATTACAGAAAATGTTTTAACACATATAGTTGAACCACCACAAATCCTTTCTGGAAAGACATAGCAACTATAATCCCATACCCAATAATGAAACAGATTTAATTTCTTACCTTGACTATAAGATCAGATTGTTCTTGTAATTTGTAAGTCTTAGAGAAAAGAAGTCTGATTATCCAGAGTATTAGAAACCCTTCCAAAATAAGATGGTAAGCAGGAGCCTGTGAGTAAAAAACAATTAAGAAATGAAACATACACTTCTAAAATCTGCACATAAGAGTTACCACACCTACATATACTGCCCCCCATGACTTTCAGCCTATTAATTCTTACTACTTACTTTCAAAGCTCCCTTAATTTCTATTCATTCCTTTCCCCATTTCTAATGGCAGGCAATTTCTCCTTCACATGAAAAACCCCTAATATTTTTGGCTTTTAAAACTTTTTTGGGAATAAAAATTAAAACTAAAAAAAAAAAATTAAATCTAACACAGAATCTCAATATTTAAAACAATGTCAACTATCAGATTATTTAATTTCAGTGCTTATTTCATTTTTGGGTACAACATACAAGAATACTCAAATTCTACATTCAATGTGTGTAAGAATTGGGAGTAAGAAGTTTCTCTTTAAGATGAGTTTTAAAATTTGCTGATCCCCCTGAATATAATTCCTTTGTGAATAAGTCTAAATACTCTTTCAGTTTTCTCAATAGTTGGATTCTAGCAGGCAAACTGCCCAAGCCAGTAGTTAGAACCCACTCCACAAAGAAATCAACTTAAGAAAAGTTGAGAAACTATCTGACCAGATAGTGCCTAATGAATAGCTCAGAGAAGATTCAGAAAGTTCTGCAGGGCAGCGCGAGGAATCTCATAAATGAATGAACACTAAAACTGACATTCTAGTTTCATATTATCCTATGTATCTGAAATTACTAGCCTTTCAAAAAAAACTCTTAACTATTCTTCCTTTAAAAATCTAAGGCAGGGAGCGGTGACTCACGCCTGTAATCCCAGCAGTTTGGGAGGCCAAGGCAGGCGGATCACCTAAGGTCAGGAGTTTGAGACCAGTCTGACCAACATAAAGAAACCACATCTCAACTAAAAATACAAAATAAGCCCGGCCTGGAGGCTCATGCCTGTAATCCCAGCTACTTGGGAGACTGGGGCAGGAGAATCACTTGAACCCGGGAGGCAGAGGTTGCGGTGAGCTGAGATCAAGCCATTGTACTCCAGCTTGGGCAACAAGAGTGAAACTCCATCTCAATAAATAAATAAATAGAATAAAAAGAAAAATCTACTAAACTCATTGTATCTTTATAAGACAGCTGATGTACATGGAATAATGACAACTTATTTACAACACCTAAATAACTTGGTTTCTTTCCGACAAAAACAGACAAACTTCAATTTATTAAAATCTTTTCCCCAATTAACTGTTCCACAGTTCCAAGGAACTGACTTCCTTAGGACCTTCCCAGAGGAAGGGTTTCCACTCATTTTCACCACTCCGTTTTATCGAACGTCTAAACTCTGGTTTTTGCAGACCTGTCTCCTGCGTCCTCTTACATGTGTTCCTTTCCCGAGCCTCGAGGGGACCCGGAGCAAAAGAACTCAAACCGAGACCCTCGGTCTCAGCCCGGGCCCGTTTCTCCCTATACTGAACCGCTGGGACTGGAAGATCCCGGCAGTCCTTCCAGCAAGAGACGCTTGAGTCTTGGCATGACCGAGCCAGTCCCGCCGAGGTCTCAGGCCATAAATCCACACGCGCCGTCCCAACCTCCCCAGGCCCAGGTGCAGTCGCGGGCCACCATAGCGCGGCACCTTGTAGAGCGCCTATACCATCTCCACCAGCACCCACTGCTCCGTGGCGGTCGCCACAGTTAGCCGTTGGGGATCCCTTCCGGAAAACGGGTCACAAACGCGTCGTAAAAGTGCGCGTCGCTGCTCAGTGACGTCTTCGCCTCTGCGGAAGGCGGGGCGGTGCAGCGCTGGGCACCGCCTCCTCGCACTTGCGCACTGGTTGACGGGAGGCTGGGCGGGGTCGAGTGGGATACAGGAAAGTTTCTCCAGGAATTCTTTACCTTATGTCCATTACGTCCCCTGCTGGATTCGGGATGGAGAGAGTAAACCCTTGCCCTTGGCCATTTTAACGCTGGGTGCAGCGTTAAAATGACTGCAGCCGGGCGCCGTGGTCAAGCCTGTAATCCCAGCACTTTGGGAGGCCGAGGCGGGTGGATCACGTGGTCAAGAGATCGAGACCATCCTGGTCAACATGGTGAAACCCCGTCTCTACTAAAAATACAAAAAATTAGCTGGGCATGGTGGCGCGTGCCTGTAATCCCAGCTACTCGGGAGGCTGAGGCAGGAGAATTGCCTGAACCCAGGAGGCGGAGGCAGGAGAATTGCCTGAACCCAGGAGGCGGAGGTTGCGGTGAGCCGAGTTCGCGCCATTGCACTCCAGCCTGGGTAACAAGAGGGAAACTCTGTCTCAAAAAAAAAAAAAAAAAGTAAACATATTGCAGTCTTTTTTGTGTGTGTGTGATATTATCATTTATGCCCACATATATTTTAAAGCCCTTGTTATGACTGCTGTTTGAATAGTCACTGCTTATTTAGATTTTTCCTTTTACTGGCCATATATTGGTTCTCTTGTTTTTGGTTTTTTGGTATTTTTTTGAGACAGAGTCTCGCTCCGTTGCCAGGCGCCAGACTGGAGTGCAATGGCTTGATCTCAGCTCACTGCAACCTCCACCTCCCGGGTTCAAGCAATTCTCCTGTCTCAGCCTCCTGAGTAGCTGGGACTACTGGCGCGTGCCACCACACCCAGCTAATCTTTGTATTTTTAGTAGAGACGATTTCACCTTGTTAGCCAGGATGGTCTCTCCCTCTTGATCTCGTGATCCGCCCGCCTTGGCCTCCCAAAGTGCTGGCATTACAGGCATAAGCCACCGCGCCTGGCTGGTTCTCTTCATTCTTTTCTGCATTAACGTATTCTCATCTATGATCCCTTCTGACTCAAAAATTCCTTTTAGTATTTCTTTTAGTGTGGGCCTGTGGAGGTGAATTTTCTAACTTTTTGCTTGAGTGAAAAGCTTTAACCACTTTCATTTCTGAAGTACAGGTGACCTGTGAACAACACGGGCTTGAACTGTTCAGGGCCAACTTTATGTGTAGATTTTCTTCCACCGCTGCCACCCGAAGACAGTGAGACCAACCCTCCTCTTCCTTCCCTTCCTCAGCCTACCCTACGTGAAGGTAATGGGATAAAGACTTTCATGACACTCTGTTTCCATTTAATAGTAGATACGTTTTCTCTTTCTTACCATTTTCTTAATACCATTTTCTTTCTCTAGCCTTATTGTAAGAATACAGCAGAGAATAAATGTAACATCCAAAATATGTGTTAACTGTTTATATTATGGGTAAGGTTTCCAGTCAGTAGTAGTTAAGGGGTTAAGTTTCTGGGGGGTCAAAAGTTGTAGATTTTTGACTGCATGTGGCATCAGCACCCCAACCCCTGGATCACATATAGGATTATAAGCTGACAGTTTCATTAAGCACCTCAAAGACATCACTCCATTATTTTCTCACTTTCATGATTTTTGTGGAAAAGTCTTACTGTTGTTCTTTGAAAGCAAAGTGTCCCCACCCTCACCCTGACCCATTGTCATGAATTTGCAGCAGTTTAGTAAGATAAGACTGGTGTGGTCTTGTGTTTATTAGATTTGGGGTTTGCAGAACGTCCAAGCACTACAGAAGCTCTGTAGAGTATCTTTACTCTGTGATTGGATAATAATTTTGAAAAATTCTTGGCCAGTATTCTAACATTGGCTTTGTCCAGTTCTCTCTTCTCTCCTCGTGTACTCCAATACCACCATGTTATACATATTCACTGTTTTTCATGTGGTACTTTCATAATTTTCTGTATTTCCCATTCCTTCCCCCACTGGGCTTCTATCTGAAATATTTGTGTTCGCTCATTTTCCTGTTCACTAATCCTTTCTTCTGGTTTACCCTGTAGCTAAACCCATTTAGTGGATCACTGTTTCAAATGAAGTGTTTGCGGGCTATAATTACCATCTGTGGTGGCCGTGAGAACGCACCGCTCTCTCCAACTGCTAGGGGTGTAACTGACGACTGGTTTCCACAGCTGCACTCTGACATCTATCACTGTGTTTGTGCCAACGCTGTGATTCCCACACACTGCTCCCAGCCAATGGCTGAGCTCAGTAGGGATAGGACGCTGGCCTGACTCTGAGAGATTGGGAGCTGATTGGGCAGGAGAGTGTGGCTTAAGAACGCCCAATATCCTTGGCAAACATGCCTTAAACTGTGCTGCAGCCAAAAGTCCTCCCACACAATCTTCCTTTGCTTCCTCCTTCCTTCTCCCAGGGGCACAGGATAAGCATTTTTCCAATGGATTTCTAGTTAATTTATCCTATCTAGATGTGTTAGTGAACACAAGATGTGTTAGTTTCACTCAAGCAAAAAGTTAGAAAATTCATCTCCACAGTATCCTGAAAAGATGCATGATTTTCAAATTTTCAATATTTGTGTATGTGTGTGTGGTGTATATGTGTGTGGGGTGTGTATGTAGTTGTATTTCTGTGTGTGGTGCTGTATGTGCATGTGTGTGTATGTGTGTGGTGTGTGTTTCTATTCGTGTGTGGTGTGCATGTTCATGTGTGTGTATTTGTGTGGTGTATATGTGTGTATTTGTGTGTGGTGTGTATGTGCATGTGTGTGTATGTGTGTGGTGTGTATGTATGTTTGTATTTGTGTGGGGGGTATATGTGCATGTGTGTGTTTATGTGGGGTATGTATGTGTGTTTGTATTTGTGTGTGGTGTGGATGTACCTATGTGTGTGCATGTCTATGTGTGTGGGGAGTGTAGGTGTGTTTGTATTTGTGTGTAGTCTGTATGTGCATGTGTGTGTGGTATGTATGGGCTTGTGTGTGTGTATGTTCATGTGTATGTGTCTATTTGTGTGTGGTGTGTATGTGCATGAGTGTATATGTGCGTGTGTGGGGATGTCTATGAGTGTATTTATATGCAAGGTGTATGTGCATGCATGTGTATGTGCATGCATGTGTGTGTATGTGCATGAGTGTATATATACATGTGTATGTGTGGGGATGTGTACGAGTGTTATTTATATGTGAGGTGTATGTGCATGTATGTGTGTGTGTGCACGTGCATCCAGTTCTCTCTGCTGAGA